TTCCACCAAACCAAGATTCTCAAAGCCAACTTCCAGTTTAATTAGAAATCAGGTGATATTCAAAACTTTTGGGTAACTGTTAGAGATTTTAACTATAGCAGCTTGTCTAATAATTCCTGTAAAAGGAGTAAGATCTAGTTCTGATATACTATCAGCTGTGAAATAATGAACAGAGGCTATATTTAAACAGTACTGGTGACAAATAGGAAACCAGAAAACATAACAGAGCTATTTCCCCACCACAACAGGTCAACAGTTCAGTTAGTCCTATATGGAACCTGTCTTTCCGTAGTGGCCATTATCAGACCACGTGTCAAAAATCCACACATATAGGAGACGTAGCTCAGCTGAGCTAAGCCCTGATGCAGACACTGCTAGATTGAGGGAAGAATTCTCCCTAAAACTTCTCAAGCATGGATTTACTAAAGTGATGGAAAATCTTCCATTGCTATAGAACCACAGTTGAACCACTGTAGTACTTTTAAGGCATGCCTACACTACCCTCCAGATCAACAGGCAATGATCAATCCAGTGAAGGTTGCTGCATTGCATCTAGTACAGAAGTGATAAATGGGCCACCGAATGACTTTGGTACTTCACCAGAATAAAAAGTGCTGGCAGAATCGACAGGTGAGCCTCTGCCATAGACTCACCACGGTGAAAACACAGCAGTAAGCAGATCCAAGTATGTCGACGTCAGCTATGTTATTCATGTAGCTCAAGTTGCATAACTTAGATTGATGGCCCTCGGTAGTATGTAGACACATGCCACCACTCACATGAGGGAGTAGGGAGCAAGTTATAGCACTGCTCTTTGCTGGAACAGAGAACACTGAACTAGATGGAAAAACTGTCCCCACTGAGGAGAGGAAGAAGAGAGGGGTGTTAAAAAAAGGTGCAAGAAGCCAAGTGGGAGGTATGCCCCATCCTCAAACATTTTTATGTGCACATTTCAGCTTGAAATTTCAACCTGAAACTCACTCACTCTTCTTCACCTTAAACACCCACCCACATTTTGTCTACACTACAGGGATGGGTGACATAGTTACTGAACCACAGCCGTGACAATGTAACAATGTTACTTACCCCTGTAGTGTATAGATACAATGGCAAGGGCAGGAGTTCTTCTGGCATTGGAATAATTCCACTTCTTCAAGAATCAGTAGGTAGGTTGACAAAATACTTCCCTTAACTTTCGTACATCTACCATCTACAATGGGGGTGGCAATGGTGGGGGAAGGGAAGAGATAGGGCATAAGAGCTGTGGTGTTCAAGGGTGTAGATTTTTCACACCCTTACGTGCTGTAGCTATGTCCTAAATTTTAAGTGTAGACCAATCACCCCGCACATACTGAAGGGAGCGTAAAAGCCACGCCCTCTTGGTTACTGGGTGGAAGTTGGGGAGGGAATATACAATATGCCATTCTGCATCATCAACTACCCTGACGTCCTTCTGGCAAAAGAAGAAAATTTTTGATTCTTCAAAACATGGCTAAGACCCTCCCCCGAGAAATATACCTTTCTATTCAGGGACTCGTACATATTCATTGCTCGCCATGGCAGTGATCAGCTGGTACGCACACTAGGGATGTTTAAAAGCGTGTAATATGGTAACGGTGTAGCTGCTAAAAATCTTAGCAGTTATATAGATACACGTGCTGCAGGCAGCTTAGCTGGATACTGCAGAGCCCGCAGCAAAGCCTCCCTGGGAGCAGAGCCACCAGCCCCAGTGGCCCAGCTCCCAGGATGAGGCACCTCCCTGGGAGCTGGTTGAATTTAACCGATACCATTAACCAGTAAGCATCAGCTTATTGGTTAAATAGTTAGTAGGTTAAACTCTAACATTCCTACCACACACACGAGTTGTGGTTACCCCTCTCTTGGCAGACATGGCTACAAGTATTAATGGTCCAACGATCGTTGTAAGTTCCAGTTCCAGTTTTTGACTAACACCCTAGAATAGAAATTCCACAGGATGATACGGCACTATGTGAAGCAGCACTTCCTTTTATTTGTTCTAAATTTACCAAGCAGTAATGTCATCCAGTGACCTCTTGTTCTCATATAATGGGACAGCACAAAAACAAGGGACTGATTCATTTTCAAGTAGGGAGGGGACTGCTTCCCCCGACAGTTTTAAAAAAAATGAAATCAGAAGACAGGACAAACACACAGAATCCTGAGATTATAAATAACCTGGGTATTTTTTGGCCTACTCTGGGATTGGCAGAACTCCGAACAGTCATGCCCTGAAGTGGATCAAAGGTTTATCATGATGTGAACTATCACATAAGCTAAACCAGTTTACTCTTCCTAAAAAGGAATGCCAAATATGAGGATGCCCTTGCTTATTAGACTGAGCGAGATGGAGCTTTCTGGCATTAAACTCTAACATTGCTACCACACACACGAGTTGTGGTTACCCCTCTCTTGGCAGACATGGCTACAAGTATTAATGGTCCAACGATCGTTGTAAGTTCCAGTTCCAGTTTTTGACTAACACCCTAGAATAGAAATTCCACAGGATGATACGGCACTATGTGAAGCAGCACTTCCTTTTATTTGTTCTAAATTTACCAAGCAGTAATGTCATCCAGTGACCTCTTGTTCTCATATAATGGGACAGCACAAAAACAAGGGACTGATTCATTTTCAAGTAGGGAGGGGACTGCTTCCCCCGACAGTTTAAAAAAAAATGAAATCAGAAGACAGGACAAACACACAGAATCCTGAGATTATAAATAACCTGGGTATTTTTTGGCCTACTCTGGGATTGGCAGAACTCCGAACAGTCATGCCCTGAAGTGGATCAAAGGTTTATCATGATGTGAACTATCACATAAGCTAAACCAGTTTACTCTTCCTAAAAAGGAATGCCAAATATGAGGATGCCCTTGCTTATTAGACTGAGCGAGATGGAGCTTTCTGGCATCTGAACAGGGGAGCTGACAGCCATGCTAGGTCACTGGGCAAGGTTTGGTCCCTAAAAATGGAAAATAAATGCCTAGATTCATCTCCCTTAGCTAGCATTAGAACACAGTCTATAATAGGGGTGTTTAATATCTGTTAATAGTTGAGTAACCTCAAGAATTCTTATCGATTAGTCGATTATTCTATAGTCCCCAGGGGCAGAGCCGGTAGCGAGTGCGCTCCGGCCTCACTCCAGAGAAGCCCCCTGCCACTCGGCACTGCTGCCTTTGTATCAGGCAGCAGCTCCCCTCAGGGACTGGCTGCCTATAGCCCTGCACTGTTGCCTCTGATAAAGAGACAGCAGTGTGGGGTGATAGCAGCCCCTGTCTAGGGGGTGTCTGAGCTCCCAGACCCAGTGAAAGCCGGAACTGAACCGGGCTGCCTGTCTGCGTCCTAATACATTTTAAATGCACAGCAGCTGCAGCAGGGGTAGCTCCCAGACCCGATTCAAGCCAGGATTGAGCCAGCCAGCTAAAAAAATTATTTGCAAGTGTGGGGGTGGGGAATGTGTGTAGTCTATAGCATTAACCTATAGCTTTTGCTTATCGGTTAATCAGTTAATCGACTACACTATTACATCCCTACTCTATAATTTCTTCAGGGGGTAGCCAAGTTAGTCTCTAACAGGAAAAACTTAAAAACAACAAATGATCTAGCCCATGAGTTCCCAAACGATGCCGATTGCCTTAGATCGTGGGTTCCCAAACTGGGGGGCATGGAGAAATTCCAAGTGGAGGCACGAGGTGACCCAGCCTCTCCCCATCAAGTTTTGCTGCCCTGTTCAGTTCCCGATTTTTGGCTCAAGTTTTGCTGCTATTTGGAGGGGGACGGGGATGTGAGGGTTTTTCAAAAATCAAAAAGGGAGTGTGATGCCGAAAAGTTTGGGAACTACTGGTCTAGCAGTACCTTAAAGACTAACAAAACATGTAGGTGGTATCATGAGCTTTCGTGGGCACAACCCACTTCTTCAGATGACAGGAGTATTGGAAGTCCAGAACCAAGAATATATAAGGGGAGGAAGAAAAAAAGAGACAGTGAGTAGATAAGCTTCAGAGGGATAGCTGAGTTAGTCTGCACCTAACAGACTAAATAGTTACAGAATCTGGTGTTGGTGTTCTTCCTTTCCAAGTGCAAACTAATGGTTCTTATCAGCCTCTTGTAACTATTTAGTCTTTAAGATGCTACTAGACTATTTGTTATTTTTTAAGTTTTTCCTACTCCAAACTAACTTGGCTCCCCCCTGAAGATTATCTTCCTCCCCTTCTTCCCCCACCCCTTATTTATTCTTGGTTCTGGACTTCCAACACTCCTGTCATCTGAAGAAGTGGGTTGTGCCCACGAAAGCTCATGATACCATCTACATGCTTTGTTAGTTTTTAAGGTGCTACTAGACTATTTGTTGTTTTTTAAGTTTTTCCTAGTCTCTAATGACTCTGCTGGTGCATAAGGCAATTGCCTCTTAGGGCCCAAGGCACTGTGGCATCAGAGTTAATCAGTAGTAGCAAGGAATGTGCCATTCATTGTCTCCATTGTGGAGAGTCATCAAAGGGATGGGAATGACAGAAAAGGTTTAAGGATACGGGTGGTAGAGAAACTCTGATGCACTTCAGGCAGGACTCTAGGTTACAAATACCCCGGAGCACACCATCACAGCGACTGTGGAAACCCCAATAAGCGTGCTGTTTGTTGGAATCGTGGCAGTTTGGACAACTTCCCCCGTGCAATCAAGAAGATTCAGATTCTCCAGTGAGTATCTGCAGTCACTTCCAGCTGAGGGATCTTAGTCCCATCACAGAAGACCTGTTCTTCAGGCCACCCTATCTGAAATCATTGACTGGAGGCAATGTCAATGGGCATTTCTCTTCCTGAGTTTTAAAATCAGCAGCAGCAAATCTCAGAACCGGGGTCTACTGACTTGGGCTAGTGCGATGGCACTAAAAAAGCCATGCAGCATGAGGGCTCGGGCTGGAGCTGTGAGCCTGTACCGCAAGTATCCCTGAGGCTAGATGCTAACATTACCTAACACTTACCAAGGGCTCAGCATCATCTCCCGCATCACTTCACCAAGAAGTCCATCCTCCGACCAGGTGTGTCATCTCCCTTCTGACTGAAGGCATCAGTTAAGTCTCTATGATGCTGCTCTGTCCAAAGTTATCATCAGTTTAACTCTGCTGACTTTTCAAGTCAGCCCAGCTGGCAAGCAATGGAGCCAAGTGAGGAAAATTTCACGTGTCACATTCAAAAAAATAGACTGGACTCTCCTGGATGTCCTTTCCCGGTAAACTGCTGTGACCATTCAGATTAGAAAGGTAACCCAACAGATTCCCTGCCCTGGATCAAAATGTAAAAAAGAAATCCTGCTACACTTCAACCTTTTTGTGTTTTCTTACACTGAGCCACTTCCTTTCTTCCTCCCAGCAGTGAGAGTGAAACCTAATCTTCGTTTTCTCACCTTGCTTCATGCTCTCACCTTGCTTCCATCAAAGGCGTCCTTACCCAATGACTTACTCATTCAGGTTCTTCCCCAATATTTCCTAGCGGCCCAGAAACTTCTCAGAGCTGAAGTGGCAGCTTTGGCTCAACACAATATGACTGTGCTTTATCAGAGTGCTTCTCGTGAGCTCAAGTGACCACAAGAGACAGAAAAAAAAGTTAATGCTCTGGCCCAATCACAGAGCAGGCTGGAGAAAGACACAAAAGGAATGATAGATGAACTTGAAATGATTCGGCTAAATATAGCTGCCCTGGTGCGATAAACTGCTGAACGTAGCCAAGAGTGGGCGTATGACAGGACCTGATAATTCTGGCTGCTTCCTTTTGCTCACTTCCTGTTCAAGCACACAGCCCTGCACACAAATTTGTGAACCTTTAATTCCCCAAGAGCTCCTGACATATTCAAAACAGCCAGTGGCTTCACACTCAAAAAGACAGCAGAATTCCTTATGGCTTAGAGGACCAAGAACCAGCAGCCAGAAAAAAAATTAAAAAGTCAAGAGGCGAGCATGGAAGCTTTGCTGATGCAGGACAAGATCTCCCTTTGACTGGCCCAGTTCAGGAGGCAGCTAGTGTCTTTGCTCTGCATAGTGAGCCAGGCTCCTCTGTCTGACATTCAGCAGAGGGATGTGGACAGGGTACTATTACAGTGGAGCAGCAACAGTTGCAAAGTGAAGAGTGACATATCTAAAACAGCTAGCCTATGTTTACTGGCAAGATAAGCTCAAAAGGACTAACATATTCCAAGCACGCCACTGCTAAAGCTCACAATGCACAGTATTGATGGGACTGGCTGTCAAGAGTTCCCTGGTACACGATTCTCTGCTTGACATGTTGCCAAGCCAAGGTATAAAGCGGTTAAAACAACTCCTGCTCCTTCAATGAATACGTTCATTCATGGAGCAGGCACTGAAAATCGGAGCAGAAGCTTCAGAGTTGGATTAGCAATTTACACTTCAGATCAGGAGTGTGTCACAGCCCTCGTAACAGCCAAAGGCTGCTGTGTTTGGGTACTGCAAAACTGGACCTGTGCACTTTTAAGTTTCCTTTGGTCTGAGTAGGTACCCTACACAGTCTGTGTCTTTGGCCTCTCTGGAACACTCCACAAGTTCAGACTACATCATTCCTTCACAGAAATGGGCCCTAAACCTATACCCTTCCCCACAATATTCCAATAGCAACACAGCACAAGACATCTACAGATCCAGGTAAAACAACACAACATCTATACACTCTCCGCCTGCCTCAGTTTTCTTATCCCTCAAGCACTCTTTGGGACACGGTCACATTATCTAGTACAGTGTTTATAAAAAAAAAGTTTGAGAAAGTACCCCTTTTTCAAAAACAAACAAACAAAAAAAAATTATAAGTACCCCAGGACCTAGAGTTTTCAGACAAACAAAATTTGTTTCTACCATTGCAACACATTTGTTTAAACAACTTAATTGTAGCCAGGCAGACAATGAAATTTTTGGGTGTAAAAAGTACAAAAACAATAGAGCACTGTAAAACTTAAAACAAAAATTCAGTTTTCTCCAAATTTCAGTTGTGTTGACATACCTCCCAGACTCCTCTCAAGTACCCCTAAGGGTACTCGTACCACTGGTCGAGAAATACTAAGCCGGCATATCCAGTGTTTGATATCTGCAGCTTCTCCTTTGAATCATGCAGTGTGTGCATATCTCTCTCCCTGCAGCAGCCAGCTTCCTTCTTTCTTGGTGGGTCCCACGGTTAAAAAAGGATTTCTGTGCTACACAAGCATGTTCTTTTTGTTCCTCTCTTTCAGCCTCTGTGGTTTTTAACAACTAGCATTAACACCAAGTTCCTTTGTTTCCCCTTTCTTGGGAAAATCCTCTGCTTCACACCTCAGCTCCCTGCAAAGAATCTGGAGATACCTGTTTTTACCTAGAGCGTAGCCATCCTATTGTCCTAACGTACAAGGAAGCTATTCTTGTCTCTAGTCTGGAACATGCCACTATTCCTGATGGCACAGGGCTGACTCCACATTCAGCGAGCAATTCAATGATAAAGCAATTTCATAAAAAACGGCCGGAAGTCATAAGCTGTATATAGATCACTCTCCCACACTGTCAGTGTCTCTCATTAACACCAATTACACAACTCAATTTGGAGGCTGAGATCACAATTTGACAGGCCCCAGCCCCCCAGGGAGGTTGCAGGGGGAGGGGGCTGGAGAACCAATGCCAAGCCTTTGGGGCCAGATCCAGACAAGCCTGGGGCTACATCCAGCCCCCGGGCCTTAGGTTCTCCACCCCTGGCTAAGCTTATCGAGTAGTCAACTGCGGTATCAACTACGCATTTCCTCCCCTCCACCGCCTCTATGAGAGGCCACTGGGGGAGAGGCAGTAGCCAGTGCTGGGGGTAGCCAGCTTCAAAGCTGGTTCCCCCCAGCACTGGCTCTGTGGTGCCACCTACTCCTACCCCCGCTGCCTCTATCAAAATCAGCAGGGGGGATAGGGAGGTTGCTCTGGCAGCAGCCCCTGCCAACCCTATCCACCGTGAACAGAAACTATTTCAGCACCAGACCCTGTTTGCAGTGGGCACCAGAAGCTGCTGGACTCAGCGCAAGCTGGGACTGAGCAGTCGCAGCTCACGCTGGTATGGGCTGCTGCGACTCTGCATTTTAAATACAGTAGGAGCCCGGCGGCTCTTACTACATTTAAAATGCAGAGCTGCAGTGCAGGTGGCTTCCGGAGCCAGCACGAGTCGGGACTGCAGAGCGGTCCTTATCGATTAGTCAGATAACCACAATTTAACATCCCTAATGCACACTTCACACAGCTCCGCCAATAAACCCAAACCTGCATGACCCAGTGCCATGCTTCCAGGGAGTTATGTGAATTCGAGTTTTATGAAACACTCTACGTTTGTGAATATTCTCACATAGGATTCACAGCCTAATTCTGCCATCTCTCTCCCTTCAACTCACTGAACATTCTTCATCCCAGACACAACTCATCAATTTCCCAGAGACGCGTAGTTAATTTTATAGTGAAAACAGCTTCAACCGCCAATCTAATAGTTTCCACCTCTGTGAACTACCTTTCATTTTCCTTAGATAAAAGACAAGTTAATATTTTAAAGCATCTGCCAAAACCTAAGCAATAAGATTTTTTGTAGAGCTGCACTCCCTAGAGATCTGAATCCTAAACTGCAGCACTCTTGGTACTTTGACCATGGACTTTTACACCGCTTAACTCTGAATGAGCAGATTTCAGGCTAGACCAGTCCTCAGAGAGATAAATATACCACATGGTATTACACTTCTTGGGACTAGAATCAATTAGCTAGATGTGTTTCTCTTATGATACATACCAGATCTGTTAGGCCTACATGCAAAAAATGCACTAACACCCGAGCACTGCCACAGGCAATGTTTGTCGGTACAGCTTGTCCCCAGATAAAAGTTTAATTTTTGTTTATTCTACATCTTGATGTCTCGTTTTCTTCCCTGATACCAGAATGGGAAAGCTGACAAGACAGAGCATTCTCTGGGAAAATGACCATCTCTCACCCCCAAGGGTCACATTCCTATATGTCTTTGGACACTCTGCCCCTAAACAAGAGGCATTCCTCTTCATGGCAGTCAGCAGAGTGAGCACAGACAAGAATAAGAGTCCGGGACTCGTATAATCAGAAAGGAAGCGTGGCAAAAGGTCGGCATGACTAGTCAGTGGGTATAAAACTTAGTTCATATGGCGAAAGTCTCTACCTACCCACTTATTCCACGTAGCGCTGGAAAAAGACCTTTCTTCCTTCTGTACTTCCAGAGGACAAAGTCCTCCCAGAAAAAATGTTCCCAAATGGAACTACACAATTCTGAAATAAAGGTGCAGTTGGAAAGTTAATGACATGTTAGAGAGAGCTTCCAAGTCATTCATCTAGGAGCAAATAATCATGAAGAGAACGAAAAATTAATGATCCCCATTGCTCTAGCTCCTGCCTTGGTAGCGTAATACCTGTCACGGCTAGCAGCTAATTAAGTCTACAACTGAGCAAAAGGGAAAAGACCTGGTGCTGACAGCTTACTGTTAGCAATAGCTCCCACAGCCCCCACTTAAGTAGTGTTGAAAACAGGTTAGCTGCTAGTACAAAAAAGGAAGCACACTGTTTTCAGCATTATTACTGAAAACATGACAAACCGAGTGGCTTACCACACTTGGCGTCATGGTGTTCAGGATAGTGCTGTTCTGCCTGAAATAGCTGTTAAATCATCTTAAAAGTCAACAGAAGGGGGGAACAAGAGGCAACCCTTTGCTGATAACTCTGTCAGCAACTGGCCCTTTTCTTGGCTGTAGACAAGGCTTCAAGAGAGTGCATCTGCACAAGAAGCCACTTTCTTCTACTGCAATTCCAGTTCAATATTACATATTCAATTACGTATTACGTTCTGAAAGGAGTTCTTGTGTCCTGCAAAAATCTTGCTTTTCTCTGCTCTTCAGGGATAGGCAGAGGGAAGAATTGGAGCGCACACTCAGGAAGGTAGATTAAACACAGGATATAATGTACTAAGGTTACCAAAGAGCAAACAAAGTAGAAAACAAAAGCTGCTAGTGTTCAGGCACAAGGGCAGGAACAGGTGCTTATTACACACCAATCAACCTCCTTGTAAGGGAATGAAATCCCTTTCCAAACAAATATTCTCCAGTCTCTCTCCTTCACTTCACAACTCCCTGTCTATCCTACTAGAAATCTGTAGTCACATTTCACCTTTTCCATACAGTACCTTCATCCGTTTGAGAAGCACCTGCCACTTTTTTGGGTGCTAAAGAATAATAATAATAATGATGATAGCTACTCTCTGCAGTGCAACTTCTTATAAGGACCCTTCAGCTCTATCTTCATTCTCTCAGGCAATGCCACAGAAGACTCCCTCAGATGGCTTCCCGCTAACTCTGCATGTCCCATTTGAACAGACTAACGACCAGTTTCAGCAAGTCCAGATTAAAAATCCTGGAATGCGAGACAGGAAAAGGATTTCTAAATTATTCTTTTCACAAGCTAGCACTGAGTCAGAAAGGTCTGTTTACCAAGGGCCGTCTCCAGCAGAAAAAAGTATCTGCTGAGGATTGGTATGCAAATAACTTAAGCAACGGAGTGTTTAGAAACTAGAGTAAATATAACAAGAACTGGGGACAGGCCTGCACTGAATGAGGGGGAAAAGCAGTGATATGCTTGTTAGTGAAAATGAAGACAGCAGTTCCTGTCTGCAGCCATATTTTCTATTCTTACAGAGAAGAAACTCTGAAAGCAACCAATATTATTATAGATAATAAAACACACCAGCTGACTACGTACAAGCTTT